ATGCGAGACAGACCAGCCCCGGGGGACGTGCCCCCCAAGAGGAACGGGGTCACTGAACCCCCTCGGCAGACGTGGCACTGGGGAGAAGGGATGCGGGACAGACCAGCCCCACGGGACCGGCCCCCCAAGAGGAACGGGGTCACTGAACCCCCTCGGCAGACGTGGCACTGGGGGGAGGAGATGCTGGACAGGCCAGCCCCACGGGACTGGCCCCCCAATGCCAGCGGGGTCACCCACCCGCCCCAGCACGCGACGCACTGGGGGGAGGAGATGCTAGACAGACCAGCCCCGGGGGATGTTCCCCCCAAGAGGAACGGGGTCACTGAACCCCCTCGGCAGACGTGGCACTGGGGAGAGGAGATGCTGGAGAGCCCAGCCCCACAGGACCGGCCCCCAAAGAACACTGGGGTCACCACCCCGCCCCGGCACCCGTCGCATGGCGGGGAACGGATGCAGGCGACGCCAGCCCTAGGTGACCATTCACCCGACCGCAGTGGGCTCGGTGAACAGCTGCAGCGCCCGTCCCAGTGGGGGAGAGGGATGCCGGAGCCCACCCACGCTGTGGGTTTGGCTCAGAAGGAGGCCGGGGCCCAGGAGCCAGCGGGCCCCCCTGAGGTGGGCGAGAGGGCCCTGCTGGCCATGCTGACGGCCGTGGCCAACAGCCCGCTGCCGGTGCGCAGCCAGCAGAAGGACGAGCCGGATTTGACGGCGGAGGAGAAGCTGGCCATCCTGCGGGCGCTGTACCGGGACAAGCCCGTGGTCTTCCTGGAGCGCTTCCGGCGGGCCCTGCGCGTCGAGCACCTGGGCTGCTTTGCCCACCTGGCCGCCCGCTACGAAGTGCGCTTCTACTGCGACGAGGTGCGCCGGGCCGCCCGCGGCAAGGCCGGCCACACGCGGGTGCGCAACAAGAGGTACGCCGCCCTGCAGCAGCTCATCAAAGGTACGAGGCCGCCAAGCCCTGCCCCTCCCCGCGCTGGGGGTGGGGGCCTGCTCTCACAGTCAGTGGCGCCCTGGTCCTGAGGCTACAGGGCGCGGACCAGCAGGGGGTCAGTGCTGACTCCGATGCCCCAAGGCAGCGCTAGCGGGCGCTGTGCTGCAGGGAGGGCAGGTTGGTGCCCGCTGGGTGCCCTGGCTGGAGGCGGCTCTAGCACGGCGTGGCCATGTCAGTCAGCCCCAGCTGGTGCCAGGTGCCCCCCGCACAGGCTGCCATGGCAGAGGCTAAGGACGGAGTGGGTCGGAGACAGCAGCCGTGCCCGTGGG